AACCTGTGTGTGTGTGTGTGTGTGTGTGTGTGTGTGTGTGTGTGTGTGTGTGTGTGTGTGTTTAAAGATTTGTTCAGTAAGTTACAGTGTTTTTTTTTTTCTTTGGTTAGGGTTAGAAAAATTAGGTTGGGTTGGGTGGAGTGGTAAACGATGGTGGTGAAGATAGTGGTCACAGTGACTGAGTTATATTTTCCCAGTAGCACAAAGAGGAAGAGTGGCACCATGCAGACGATGCCAAGGCTCACGTACACATAAAGATATGGAAAGCTTTTTCATAGAAAAAAAAAATAAAGACACAAGAAAGAAGAAAGGCTGCAGTCTAGGATAGTTGCACAAATATTATTTCATGTTCTGTTTAGATTGACTAAATCATGTAATTGTGTTAAAAAAGTGTTTTTTTTAATATTTGGTATTATTGAAACAGTATCCTTCTGTTTTTTTTCAGAATCTAGATATGCATTTTTTAAGAAATGTGATCTAATAACATATTTGACTTTTACTCCAGCAAAAAATACAATAAATGGTTGGTGTTATCAGATTAGAATTTGGTTTATAATCAGTTCTCATAAGATTAGAAAAAGTCATGAAGCATCAGACTAATAATGTTTCAAGCTATTAAAAGGGCCTTGGGGTCTCTGAGACTCCAAAGAGAACATGAGGGTAAAGACGGAAAAATGAACACCTAACGAAAGTGAAGCAGTGCCCACCAAGACCTTCACTGCGGAGAGAAAATATTTGGCTGCCTCAAGCCATGATTGCTGTGGCCTTGTGAGTTAATGAAGAATGAAAGAGTGAGAAAGAGGGAGAGGCTCCTCTTCGGTTTCTGTCAGTTGATGCCTTCCCAGATGAGCACTTACAGACCCTCAGGACACATGGCTACAATTAGGGGCTATTTTGTCCTTAAAACATCATATGAAGGAGGAAGATGTCTCTTCAAGGTTAAGCCTGTATCTTTTGGAGTGATGCGAACAAGAGGATTTACAGAGATTTAGAGACTTTAGAGTCATCTCGGCGTGTTCAAAATGGACTGAAATACTTCTCAGGAGCTCTAAGGATTGAAGCCATTGCATGCAACATATTTGTCAAAATGTCTCATTTCTATCTTGTTTTTTTTTTCACTTCTCCTTTGTATTCAATGTGTTTAATTCTTTGTTTTACCATTATTATTGTAGTTTATATTACTAATTATCTTAATGGTGTATGTACTGCTTCTGTCTCCAACCAGGCTGTGCCCTCTTCCACCTACGAGATGCCCATCCCCGTGAATAACCAGATATACCCAGGCAATCATAACCTGCTTCCTCTGGCTTTTTTTCTGTTTTAAAAAAAGTGTAAAATATATAATTTTTTTTTTATTTAATATATTTAATAATTTATTCCTATTACCACAAAGCTGAATTTCCAGAAGCCATTACTCCAGTCTCCAGTGTCACATGATCCTTCAGAAATCACTCAAATATGCTGATTTCATATTATTACTAATGATCAAAACAGTTGTACTGATTACTGATTAATATTTTTTTGTGGAAACCATAATACTTTTTTGATGAATAGAAGGTTCACAAGTATAGCATTTATATGAAATAGAAATATTTTGTAACATTATAAATATCTTTACTATCATTTTTGATCAATTTAATGCATCCTTGCTCAATCAAAACTCCTTACGAAAAAAAAATCTTAATGACCCTAAAACTTTTAGTATTTGCTTTAAACAATATTCTTGCTGAATTTGTCAGATTTGGTGAAATCACCTGCGCACAGTCTTCTTGTGTGCTCTTTAATATAGTTTGTCCCTATAAGCTTTGTAAATATCAGAGTTTTTTATTAGTAAAGAGGTAAACAAGCATATTGGCATTAACCAGATGCTGCATTGTTTGACCCGTGTCCTCTGTTTGTTTGCTTAAGCTCTTGTCTGAACATGATAGCACACAACTCTCCTCTCACCCTGTACTTCTGCTGTATGTCTTTTGTAGGATAACGACTATCGTATGTTTGGAGTGAAACATACTTAGAATATGTTACCATCTAGTAGCCCAGTGCTTTTTGTATACGTTTGTATATGAGTTTATGTATACAAGAACAATCCACTTGAAAGGGATAGTTGTACAGTCGTAGTGGTGCTTTGACTTGTGGTTGCCTCCGAGTCTATGTGGACGTCTGTGTATGCGTGTCTGCGCATCTGTTTGCGTCTGCATGTGTGTGCAGCTCTGCCGGTCTTAACCACTAACCAGTGGTCACTACAGAAGCATGGCTTGGATATTTAAAGCAGGACAGTAGATGTTTTGAACTTGGCTTTTGGGTTGCTGGGACACAGCTGGGTAACCTTGTCTGGCCCGGGGTCTATTGTATGAGGGTAAGGGTGAGGTCTGTCAACTGACCCCCTCTCCTCACTGTCTCGAATGCACAAAAGTACCACTTGTTAGTGTGGCCCTGCTGTCCACATTCAAGGTCTACAGCCATCAAATATAGCCATTGTGCCGAATACAGGCTAACACAGGGCACAGTGTGGAGTTGATGTAGGCCACAACTCTGGAAACAAGAGTCGAAGAGAGTCAAACGACACAAACGGCCTCAGTTTGAATGGTCTAATAGAGAATAGTCAAGTCTTTTTTCCTTTCTCCCTTAGTTACCTCTTGATTCTTAATGCTATTCACAAGAGTATAAAAACTGAATACGTTTATTCAGCAAAGATGCATTACATTAATCAAAGGAGAAAAGTTACAAAAAAAAAAGATGTTTCAAATAAATGCCGTCTTTTGAACTTTCTAATGATCAAAGATTCCTGACAAAAATGTATCATAATTTCCACAAAATAAAAAGCAACTGTTTTGCAACATTGATAATAATACGAAATTTTACTTTAGCACCGAATCAGCATATTATTCGTATGATTTCTGAAAGATCACATGACACTGAAGACTTCAGCTTTGCCATCACAGGAATAAGTTACATTTTAAAATATCGATAAAAAGAAAACAGTTATTTTAGATTGTAATATTATTCACTTTTTTATCAAATACATTCAGCCTTGGTGGACATAAAAGGCATAAACAGTAAAGAAAAAAATCGAATAGTAGTGCGTCTGTATATATATTTAATATATTTGAATGATTTTTTTCCCAAGTTACGCTATGTACTGTTGTTTTGCCAGCATGTTCCAGAAAAAGTGTGTCATGGAATGATGTTTGTCACAGACAGTTATTTGTTCGGCTGGCACCCTGGCATTCTCAGACGACCGCAAATCCTCTGCTACGTGTATTTATGTATCTGTGACAGGGTTGTGCTATGAGATACGGAGAGGTCAGCCAACACATGAGAAAGTGAAGCGGCCAGTCTTTTTTTACCTCTTAGGTGGAGCCTCATAGCAGAGTTTTTCTTTGTGTTTTTTTATTGTTAATTTACTGTTTCCGGGCATCTGCTCCTAGCACACCTCTGAAATTCTTTCTGTTGCTAGAACCAGGGCTGGCCTGAAACCTCAACACCGAATCAACAAACACGGACAACAGGATTAAATGAGGCCGTTACACCACAACAAGAAATCAGAGACGTTCCAACTCGCAGGGAAAGCGAGCATGTACTTAACCACACTAGCCGGTCAGCTTGCTTTGACACTGAGTGGAAACTTAGGCCAAGCCCATTTACAGTTAAGCCTCCTCTGCGGAGCCCCAGAAATAGAATCGCCTCCTTTATCATGTGTACACATCAGGCGATTTGTGTGTGAGGAGGGGACCGCTCGTTTCTGGGCAGCTGTAATTTTAGTACTTCCCCATTGTGAGGGCGATAGCTGGGCCACGAGCGCACAGGGAAGAGACTTGTGTGGCTTTTGCGAGGGAAACGGTGTGCGTCAGAAGATGGACACTGTTGTGGCCTAGCGCACTGGTTTTGGCTCTCAGATGCCTTCTAGAACAAACAACTGTAAAAGTCAGTGAATAGAATGAGAGAAATGAGTTTTGTGCTACTTATTGGCCACCTGAATCCCAGCTGTGCTGCTTCTAATCCATAAATCATGTCGCCGAGGCTCATTCATCAGCGGTGTCTAGCACACGTCCTTAGTTGAACTCGTCGTCTCCGTCTGTCTGCTCTCGACGGGTCACTTTAACTCTTGCTTGGTGTTGCTGATCATTAATGACGGTGCATTTGTCAAATGGCTTAAAGCTAAAAAAGTTCAAAATAAACAGATATACACTGAACCTTATATATGGCCCGATTTGTTGAAAGACCTTAAATGAAGATTTCAGTACAAGACATAAGTATACACATATCAAAATTAAGGTTAGACACTTATAATGGAAGTAAATGGAAACAGTTTTTTTAAGGATTTAAAAGCAGATATGTTAAGCATATAATTTTATAAAAGCACAAACATTCATTAATCTGTTAAAACTGTGTATTGACCAAGTTTTAGTAAGCCATTTTTTTCTCACTATAATCATGTCAACATGCATATTGTTATTGTCTTGTGGCTATACTATAGAAAAAAAAAGTGATTTTAATGGTTACAAATTGGCCCCAGTTATTTCCATTGTAAGTTTCTCACTGTAATGACCCTGGTAAAAAAGTAATATATTTAAAATGCGTTTATTTCATACTAAGTATAGTTCAAATCTGTTAACATATTTAGTGACATATCGCTTGAGACTTACTGATATAAAAAATTATAATTAAACTGTATTTGGAGTACTACTTTTGCACAATGCATATTTCTTAATATTAAACCTAACGTGTTTTAATGTCACTGTTAATGAAGATTGTATGATCTTTGAATAATATCAGTCTTTAAATACAAGATATTTAAAGTATACTTGCAATAGTTCCACTTTAGGACAAATATACTTCAGTATATCTTTAGCTGGACTTCAGCACTACTTCCGCACAATTGAAGTGTGTTAAGTGCAAAATTAGTTGTTCCAATTTAGCAGACTTTAAGTATACCAGTTTAATATACTAAAAGTACAACTGCAGGGTATTTATTAAGTACATAAATATGTAAATGCATTTGTAATATACTTAGCATGAAATAAATGTATTTAAAATGCATTTTAGTTCATTTAAAATTTCCCCTACTTTCACTAGGGGAAGATTTTTATAATTACTACTTTTTATATTATTATTAGTAGTAGTAGTAGTAGTAGTATTTTAGAGAGAAAAAAAGAAGGGATGAGTTAATTTTTTTATCAACATTATGCCACAAGTGCTGTGGCTTGAGCTCAACTTGCACTGAACCCCTAATATTAATTTAAGTGTGGGAATATATTTTTATCAAATGCATGGGATCAAATGCTGTGTTGTTTCCTCATCTCCACTGTGAACAATGAAGTGTAGCTCTTTAAGTGTTTAGAGAAGAGCTCCAGCCAGCTGTTTTTCGAGCCCCGTACTTCACTATGTATGAGGAGACAGGAAATGTATCAGTGCACATGGCACTAACATCCACCCGCTCACACTTGTACAAACACAATCTCTCACAATCACAGTTACTCTTCCTGGTTCCCAACTCATGTCCTCCTTATTTTCCTTGAATCGTGCAAATTGCGCTTTCAAGACTTCTCATTTGAAAACAACAAAAACCATTGCCTTCAAATTAAAGAAAAATCACCATGGCGAAATTGCCGAGGACGACATCTGCATCTAGTTTTCCTCTCGAGTGTATGATTGGGAAATTCATTTATGTCTACCGTATAATTCCTAACCCTCTTTTAAGTGGCAAAAGCCATGCAGCACTCCACATTTTCCCCCTCGAAAGCAAAAAAAAAATAGAGGGATTTGGATTGAAACAAAGACTCTGTACTCTGTATTTTTTCCAGTATAAATGTACTCCTCTGGTTCTTTGGAGATTATGAAGTCGGGTTAGCAATTGTGGATGAGGAATAAAGATTGCTTGTCTGATCCACTTCTGGTAGTCATAAGTGAAAGCCACATGTGCACACATGTATTTATCATTGATTGCCAAATGATGGCCTTCACTGTCAATACTTAAGGGCCATGGATTTTATGTCATTTATAGAGACTGCTGCCTTGGGAAATGAGATGTGATAGTGGCAACCTTCCCATTGTGCTCCAGACCAGATGGGACTTGGAGTGATCCTTTACAGTTGAAATAAAGGGTCCGGAAATGACTGGAATATCATTCAAAATCCATTTTCTCCCTCATATTGTACATACAAATTTTTCACATGTAACTTGTACATTAAATGTAATGGATTTGCAGGATTTTTATTCATTCCAAATAAGGAAATGAATTTGTCTAACATGAAGTATTTGAACAAAAACATCAATGTTCTTTCTGATGAAGCTTTTACTGTTTTGCTCTCATTTGACACTAGCTCTTAAAGCACCAACCAATGCCACCTGTCTCTGTTCATCAAACACCTGCCTCCTTACCGCAAAACCACGAGAGAAACAAATGAGCCTCATCTCTCTCCTCTCTCTTTCTCTTCATCTACCCACACTCCACATTTTCATCTCTCAACTTTTTTAAAGAGACGTGATGCTGCAAGAGTTTGCTCAGAAACAGAAACATTCTCAAGCAATCTGTCATGAATTCGGTTTAGCTTAAGACCAAACACCTCATCCTCTTTACATTTAGCTGCACATAGACCTTTGCACTCTTTAGCGAGACTAGACTTAAATCATATTTTTCACCAAGTTACATTTTTAATACTTTATAGAAAATATTAGCGCAATTAATGACAAATAATGAATAATAATAATGAATTAAACCATTAATCTTACCAGTGATTGTTTTTTGTTTTGTTTTTTTTTTGTTTTGTTTTTGCTTTGTTTTGTTTTTTGTTTTATGTTTTGTTTTATGTTTTGTGGTTTTTGTTTTGTTTTGTTCAAATGCGTTTGGGGATTAAATGCAGTGTTATTTCCTCATCCCCACTGCAAAGAATGAATTATGGCTGTTCAAAGCTGTTTTTTTAGCCCTTTACATCACTATATATGACAATTAAAAAAAAAAAAAGATTTCAAAACAGTATTTTATTTTATTTGTTTTGCTTTATTTTAACGCGTATACGTATAAGATTAATAAGATTCATATATTTTTAATCTATATGAAGTATTGAGTTATTACAGATTTGACATCTAATGAGTGATAATGTAATAATTTGGATAAATAAAATAATGTAATGGTATCTCATATTAATTTCAAAGTGAAAATGTTGCTGTTTTTAAAACATTTTGTCCTACCTTTCAAGAATTTCATGAAAATTATGTAGCTTATCCTTGATAATCAGTTGAACTGGGAACTTGGATCTTTTTACCCAGAGGCCGACAAAAAACATATTTTGAATCATAATGATATATAATGATTCATGAGTGAAAATCATCCGAGCGTGATGGGGTGATTTGGGGAGGCTGAATTAGTCTGGTTTGGTTTGATGGAGGGTGAATGAGAGGGTGTGTTTACCAAGTGCTTGGTACAAATGAATGAGTGGTGGTGGAGGTGAAAGTTGTGTGAAATGGTGTGGAAACATCGAATTGAAAGAGCACATTCTTGGTGAAAGATGGTTGCAATACTCCAGAACGGATAAAACAGTGTTTAATGGCTGCATGTGGTGAAGGCTCACTGGAACCGTGTGGAGAGCTGCAGACAGGCTTGAATAGAGGCTTCACAGTAGATGGCGGTGGAAATGGTGCATTCTGGTGCAGGCGAGAGAGTCAAATGAAGCTTGCTTAAATTGTGTGGCATGGTGAAAGTTTGATGTACTTCATTTGGTTCTCTTGTGTCTAACGTCTTTTTCCCTCCCTTTCTGTCTCGCATTAGGAAATGGCTATGGAAACCACCGTAACTCTCCAGGACTTCTGGTCTCCTCCGGAGGCATGAACAAGAGCATGCAGGCCAAGTCCCCTCCACCAGTGAACCTGGGGATGAACAGCCGTAAACCTGACCTACGAGTTCTCATCCCACCCGGGGCCAAGAACAACATGCCCTCTATTGTGAGTTCATCACAGTGTGTTGCATTAAATCTTACTAAGAGCCCTGATGATACAACCCATGCACCTCAGTTCCTTCATAATCGTCCGTGGTTCTCCTCTCCTTTCTTCTCATTTCCTCTCCAGTAGTTTCATAAACTAAAAAAATAGGTTAGAGTCCTTCATAATCAGTCTCCTCAGCTTTGGTGTTGTTTAGCAAAGTGCTCACCTGTAGGTTCACATAGTCTCATAGGCGGCCATCAGCTTCACTAATTCTGGATTTATCACCCTCCCTTTACTGCCATCAGTCTGAGGATATTGACCTTCTATTGGTAAGTGACACTGTCACTCAAACCCGTGACACGGGCTAATAGACCCGAAGGGCATTTGTCATCCTCATGTGCATAAAAAACGAATAGCGTGCCCTCAGATGTTGTTTAGCTTATTGTTCTTATGCCAATATAGTGCACATGCTGACCTGTAAAAGTCGTGTTAGTGAATAAGGAACATTCACACAGCCAAGCTCCAGAGTGACATCTAGTGGTCATAAGAGCCTCATTTTCAGGTATTATTGACCTCGCCATCTCCACCTCTGCTTTTCTTAATCTCTATCACATCATTCAGTCATCATGCCAGCAAGACAGAGGAAAAACACCTCCAACCCCTCTGTTGCCTTGGAGACCTTGAGTTTCTATAGCGACCAGTGCCCTATGAGGGATTGTAAATCATAGGTTGAGAGGCTTCAGTGGTGCTTCATATAAAGGGATTATTTTTTCATTCATTA